ACCCCCACAGAAGACACCTGGCCTGGGATCACATCCAACGAGGAGTTCAAGGCTTACAACTTCACCCAGTACCGAGCCCAGCCCTTGATAAATCACGCCCCCAGGTACCTCCTGGAGCAGGGACACCAAAGCCATGGGAGGCTTGTGCTGGGTGGAAGGGGGAGCCTGGGGAGACCAGTTTCATTTTCTCCTTGTGGTGCTGGAGGCTGCAGTGCCTCTTGTCCCTGGGTGCAATTGTGTGACTGTCTCCTGGTTTTATTCCCTCTTTCTCTCAGGCTGGACTCAGAAGGCATTGACCTGCTGACAAACCTCCTTCTGGTGAGTGGCAGAGCAGCCCAGGTGGGTGGCAAAGGGATTTGTTCCAGGGAAGGTGCTCTGGCTGCCCTCACACTGGCACTGGAGCCGGGCAGGACAGGAGCTGTGGCTGCAGCCCTGGCCCTAGAGCTGTCCCAAAGCACCTCCCACCAAGGATGCTGAACCCTTTACCCTGTGTGCTCTCCCACACAAGTGAGAGGGCACAAAGCTGATGAGATATAACGTGGCCAGGGCATTCCTGAGCTCCCACAGCCTGTGCTGTGCCCTGGGCTGCCACAAATGGCACTGGGAACTGCCTGCACCCCCCCACGCCGGGTTTGTCACCCAGCACGTGGCATTACCGGGGCTCTCCGATGGGAAGAGGTGCCCAGATGTGCCCACACGTGGCCTCTGTGCCCGCTGGGCGCCGTCCCACCCGCGCAGACCGTGTGTAACATCCTCTTTCTGGGGCTTTGTGCAGTACAGGGTCAAGAGCCGGATCTCAGCAGAGGCAGCCCTGCAGCACCCCTACTTCAAGAGCCTGGGAGACAGGGTGCACCTCCTGCCTGACAGTAAGTGCTGCCTGTCCCCTCGTGAGGAGCAGAAAGGGGTTCCTGGGCAGCCCCAGGGGGTGGTTGGCAGCCCCTTGTCTTTGCTCAGCCAGAGGTGCTCCTGCAGCAGGGTGGGGTGGGAGCTGGGTGCCTGTGAGAGCAAGGAATAATTTAGGTAGGATGGGGAGGAGCAGGAGAGAGACAGAGAAGAGCTCTGATGAGGTGCCACACGTCAGGGCTGTCCCCCCACCCCGGCTCTGGGGTTGTGGATCAGCTGCACTGACCCCTCTCTCTGCCCTCCCTGCCCAGATGCCTCCATCTTCTCCCTGAAGGAGATCCAGCTTCAAAAGGACCCTGGATACCGAGGCTCAGCCTTCCAGCAGTCAGGTAGGACTGGGGAAAAGCTCTCTGGCCCCTCCCAGGTGGTGCCATGGATCATGCTGGCACTGGGGTTACTCCCAGTGGGTCCCACATAGGGAAAAGCCAAACCTGCTCCCTGTTACCTGCTTTTAGTCCACAAATTACCCCTGGGGCATCCTTGCTTGTCACCTACCACGGTACTAAAGTCACTTTTAGGTGTCCTGAGGCGCAGCTCCCTCCTCCCTGGATGCCACGGGCTCGGGATCTCCCAACCCAGAGCACCTCAGGGCTCAGCTGCTCTGCAGAGCCACTGTCTGACCTCCCTGACCCATCCCTCTCTCTCTCTTCCTCAGCCCGAGGGAAGAACAGGAGGCAGAGTATATTTTAAACCTGGATCTCGTGTTCCCCTTGTCACCATGGAGATGGAAGCACTGAGGAAGGAGACGGCAGTGAGCTCCCACCCGACCCCCCGCAGGATTCCCGCAGGATTCCCGGCCGGGGCAGGACAATGCTGAAGTGCCCTCGGCCTCAGGATGTCCCTGTGTGTCCCCAAACCCCCTGGAGCTGCTGCTGATGGACCTGTGGCCTTGTTTTCCCCCTCTCATTTCCGTGTTGTCCCCGTCAGACGTGAGCTGCCACCCCCCGAGCAGGGGCTCCACTGAGGAGCTGCAGGACCACGAGCTTGTACAGCTGCACCCTGGGGGTGAGCTGGGCACGGGGGGGTTCTGTGAAGCACAGGGGTGGTGTCTCCAAAGCTGTGGTGGTGTCTGGCCCAGGCAGGCCTTTCTGAACATGTACCTTTGCTCAGACAACCTGCTCTGCACCCCCAGTTTCTTGGGAGGGACACTTTGCAGTCGTGGACACGACCCAGCCTGGCACTGGGAGGCTGCCCCTGGAGCACAGAAAGCAGGGCAGCCCTCCCTTGTTTCCCTTGCTTCTTCTGCCTGCAGAGCCCCTTTTTTTCCTCTCCCCATCTTTGGTCCCTGAATCCTGACAAGGATGGGGCGGCTGGAAGGGGAGGGCTCCCCGTCGCTTCTCCTTCCACATCTCCTCATCGCTTCTCCCTCCACATCTCCCCCTCCTTGCCATCATTGTGGTCCTAAATTCAGCCAGCTGGGATGTCCCAAATGCAGCCAGCTGGGATGTCCTGAGCTGGGGGGCAGGTACCTGTGCAGAGGAGGGGCCAGGTGAGCCCTGGCTCTGTGCTGTGCCCTCCAACCAGCCTTTCCCAGGCGCCCACGGAGCAGCCCCTTCCTCATCCCCCCACAGCCACGACCCTCTCTGACCCCACAAGGGGCAGGATGGGGGTCTCAGACAGTGTCTCAGGAGCACATCTCCCCCCTCATCCCATCCCTGAGCCCCCCCAGCACAAGGCAGAGCCCGAGTCCCTCGGCAGCAGAGCGCTGCACACGCCCACCCCAGCGCGCTTCTCCCCGGAGGAAGGGGGAGAGGTGCCAAACCTCCCACAGCTCAGCTGTGGGCACCAGAAATAGAGCTGGAGAGGAGCAAACCATCCCTCCAGCCTCCCTGCCTGCCCTCGGGGTGGGGATTGTCCCAGCCCCGGCTCAGACAGCTCTGGGGACAGAGGTGTGTGTGAGGTGTGAGGTGTGAGCATGCTGTGCTGCCTGGAGGCTGCCCTGGCTGTGGTTTTCCCCTCCACACCCTTCAGGAAGATGCCAAATCCATCCTGAGCGAAGGGGCCCTGCTGCACCTCTCCCCCACAGCCTGCAAACAGCCTGCAAGTGTGTGAGCATGGCAAGAAGTCTCTCTGCTGTACGTTATTCCTGTCATTTCCCTGGACGACTGGTCCCCTCACCCACCGCTCCTGCAGCCCGTGGGTGTGACCAGGAGGATCTGGACGTGGCCAGTGCTGTGGGTGCCACCTGGGACCGGCCTGGCAGGGCGTGCTGGTGCATTGGGGTGCCCTGCTCAGGGCATGGCAGCTCCCTGTGCTGCTCTTCCCCCCCGGAGCAGGGGGCGAGGGCTGGTTTCTGCTTCGCTGTGCGTCATTTCCTCTGTGATCCTTGGAAAACACGCAGCAGGAGGATAAAAGTGGGGACTCCAGAGGTCCCCCAGAGCCCCTGGGGCGGCTCCTCCCCGTGCCAGCGCTGGCTGCTCCCTGTGAGCTTCCCCATCCCAGCAAAGCTGTTGATTGGGGTCTGTCCTAGACAAGCATCCAGACGTCTGCATTGTTTGAGGTTTGCCCATCCCTGCTCTGTTCCCTCTCGCTGTGTCCGGCTCCCAGCAGGCTGAATAGCTCGTTAATTGTTTCCATTTGATGGGGAAGAGCCGTGAGCAGCCACCAGCTCCAGTGACGCAGTTCAGCCCCGTGGCAGGGCCGTGTTCTCCCATCCCCACTCCCATCCCCACTCCCGGCTCCTGCTCCCGGGGAGCTCCGCCGAGGGAGGGCTTGGCTGGAGCCACTCTGGACTCTCACTCTGCCCTCTTTCCTTTCCCAAAGGAATTTCCTTGGCACGGCAGGGATCTGTGGGGCAGGCTTGCACTTCCCGGGGCTCCCATCAGGAATTAGCAGAGGCTCAGGGGGTGCAGCAGCACCTTCAGTTCCCTGGGAGAGAGGAGTGCTGCTGTGCCCAGGGGAACAGAGCCTGGATCAGACGGGGAAAGCAGGAATTCCCTTCACCCAGCCTTGGGAAGCCCACTCAGGATACGTGTGAGCAGCCCTTGTTCAGTTTTCTTGCTTGTTATGCCATTCCCATGGGGCATAAACCTTCCTGGAGCATTGGATGCCCAGCTGAGCCATCCCACATTCCCACTGGGAGGATGGAGACAGAACACACCGGATCAGTGTGGTCTCAGCTCTCCCTCCATCAGACAAATATTCCTGCTGAAGGTCAAAGTCACCTACAGACACCACTGGGGGAAAGACTTAGCCATGACCATGGAGCCAGGGGGCATTCCCAGGATCAGAGGGCAAAGACAAAGGGCCTGGTGGCTCCTGTTTATTCTTTCCTAACCTTTGCCTTTCCTACAAATCCTCCCCAGAGGAGACACTATTATTTATTAGCCCTGAGTGCCACTAACAGCCCCAATCTGAGATAACCCCTTTTGTTCCACTCGTTTAGTGGGTATTTGATCCCCACCGAGGAGGTGATAAGGTGTGTAAATATTTGGAGCAAGGTGAGCCCCGAGCCTCTGATCTCCACAGCTGGGAAGAAAAGGAGCTGCAGGTTGGCAGAGATCAGAGCCTGGAGCCAAATCCCCCTTCTCCATCTCTGGGATAGCATTCCAGTCTCCACGAGCTTGGCTTTCTGAGGAGAAAGATCTCCTGGATGCCCCCCTCTCTCCCCCCCTGTGCCCGCTCCAGCAGCTCATCCCTGGCAGGAAGAGCTTTCCCAGGTTTTGGAGCACCAGCCAGCTCCCAAGTTGGATTTCTTATTAAAATTCTGGGAATTTCTGTGGCTCCCCAGCATTTTTTTTCCTCATTTTATGGATTCTCCCGTCCACTGTTTTGTGGAGCAGCTGCCACTCCTGGCAGAGGGGGAGTCCTGACAAAAGGAAATTGTTGCTTTGTTCTTCTACGTATTTTTCTTGGAATTTTTTCTTTTTTTTGGTTTCTTTTTACCAGTCCTGGTGAAAAACAGGAGTTTTGGCTGTGCCCTCAGGAAAGGCTGTGTTCTCCCAACTCTTCAGCTCACGGCTGGGTAAAGGAATATAAGTAAAGTGATGTGTAAAGCAAAGTCTGTGTTTGGGACAACATTAACACTTGGAGGCAGAGCTGGTTCATCTCATTTCATCTCTCCATTCCCACGTGCACACGCCTTTCCTGGCCCAACCCTTTGCCAGATCTATGTTAAGATTTTAAACAATAAAAAACTACATTGTATCTTGGAGACTAAGGACAAAATAAATGCCTTTTTTTTTTTTCCTCTCCCTTACACAGGAGAAAAAAAAAACCTAATTAAAGGGCATTTTCCCAAGGTTCTCCAATGTTTTCTTTGGGGTTTTTTCACCTGATCTCACCTGCCTAAAGCTCTGGCTCTGCCTGGTGGTGCTGCTCCAGCTGTGCTGCACATCTGCCCTGTCTCTGTGCACTCATGTAAAAGCTGATTTTGGATGTCCCTGAGCACCCCCTGTCTGGGCACAAACGCTCTGAAACCCATTTTCGAGTTTCTCCTCCATCCTCAGCATCGTGCTTGTCCTGCAGCAGGAAAAACGGATGCCAGTGGCCAGGAGGCACAAACTGTGAACGTCCTCTGGTGTTGATTCATTTGCAGAAGATCAGTAATATATTTAACGAGTGTTGTACAAAAGAAAGACGCGTTTTAAAAGAAACGGTTTTAAAGATTTATTCCGAAAGGAGCGACGATTTCTTTTTTTTTTTTTTAAATAGAAGGTTTTTCTGGAATAAATGGAAAGACACAGAGTAAAAAAAAAAAAAAGAAAAAAAGAATAAAAGATTGTAACCATCTACCAGTCTGGTGTCTCCGTGTTTTAATAAGAATATTTAAATTTTTGCATTTCAGGTGTGACACGGACTATGTTGTGGCCGTGCTCATTTTATTGCTAAGGCTTTAATATTTAATTCAAATATTTAATTTAAATATTTGATTTAAATATTTAATTAAAATATAATAATTTACATTATTATATTACATCTCAAACATTACATTATTATGTGTTGTGAGCGCCCCAAAGCCAAGATTGGACAATAAACTGGAATATGGGATGGGTTTGCACAGGATATAATTTTTCTCTTCTTTCTTTTTTTTTTGGTAGGAGAAGGACCTGCTTTGGTTTTTGAGTTTCAGGTAGGTGGGACTGAAGGAAGGGAGACTGAAGGTCCTGTGGAAGGGGTGAGCTGCTCCATGGTGGGTGTTCATTCCATGCCATCCCATTCCGTGCCACCTTTGCTCCTTCCCACAGAACCATTCCCACGGATTTCCCTGCTGCTCCAGGACACCTTTCCTGCTACCAGGGCGCTTTTTGGCTGGGTGTGGTGAACTCCCAAAGAGCACAAAAGGAGTTTGCCCAGCAGGTGACCTTTGCAGGGGGCTGAAACCCAAGACCTGGGAGACTTGTGCGTAATAGGAAAGTGTTTCTGTGGTCCCTTGCGTGGCTCCTGAGGCCCTAAATAAATATTTCCACAAGCCTATCGGGCAAATAAAGCCCAAGGCTGACAAGCCCAGCCCAGGTTTGCAAACCAGCCAGAGGGCAGAGCTGGGGAAGGGACAGGGGAGCCCTTTTTCCCACAGATCCAGCAGCTAAAATCCCCCTGGGATCAGAGTTACTCAGCTCCACTGTCCCCTTTGCATATTCCTGTTCTCTGGCCTGTCAGTGCTGGGGAGAATCTTCAGAATTCCCTGGGAATGTGGGAAGAGCCAGAGCAGGGGCACGAGGGGCCCTGTGGGATCTTTGGGACCGGGCTGTGGTGGGAGCCCGTGGATGATTTAGGGGCTGGTTTAGGGAAGGGGACAGTGCCCTTCACCCCCCTCCTTGGGCTGCAGCTCCAGCTTTTCCAGCCTGAGTCACGTCCCGGGGCTGGTGTGGGCAGGTCCCCAGTAACAACCTGTTTGCCAAACCAGTTCCTCCATCTGCTGCTCTCATTCCTCCAGTGCCGCAGCTGCCGGAGCCGCATCCGGGGGAATGCTGCCCAGCATCCCCAGCCCACATCCCCCTCCTGGCTTCCAGACATTCCCAGCTGCCCAAACAGCCCAAGTATTCCCTCAGGGAGTCCTCCTGCCTCGCCAGGATGCTCCAGCCGGGTCACTGGTTGCTCCCTGGGTGCTCCAGCCGGGTCACTGGTTTCTCCCTGGGTCTCAGGGTGTATCTGTCCATGAAGCTGGTGTGATTCCTGCTGCCCTCCACGGGATTATCCGAGTGTCAGCATATTCCTGGTGCATTTTGGGGAGGTTCAGCCTGGCCTGTTCCCTTGCAGCCACCCCCCTGGGCCCTGGTTTTAGTGCCCTAAGCACAGCTCAGCCGTGGTGGGTGTGTGACTTGTTGCAGTTGGGTTGGGTGGCAGGAAAACATGTAGGTGAGCACTTCCTCCTTTCAGACAAGTGTTACAAGATCTCTAACAACTGGGCCAAGATTTCAGGCT